TGAGCGGCTTTCAATCAGGCCAGGCGTCCAATCAGCCACGCCGCACTCCGCAGGAGGGGAAATCCCGGACATTTCTACTTCATTAGAAATCCCCCCCAGACGGCCATTTAAGGCTGAAAAAGCCGGACATGTCCGGGGAAACCCGGACGGATGGTAACCCTAGTACCAATTCTACAGAAATGTTTCAAGAGTTACCTTAAGAACAGAATTATCATTATGAATGCAAGTTTTCTTCAAGTTCTGATAAGCATTTAAGCAAAATATCTAAAATGTGAAAGCAATACAATTAAAAAGTTCCTAAAATTGATTTTAAAAGTTGGTGTGGTTGGCCCAGTGGCTAGTGTTCTGCATTTGCATATTCTGTACCCATTGTCAGCTAGAGGTGTAGCTGGCAATGGTTTAAGTACTTATGTAGACAGGACTAAACCATTTTCCAAGTTGTTTCAAGATGACCTGATCTAAGCTGGTCATCTTTACACTCAAAAACTGTCTATAGTAGCACTTAAACCCATAGTTAAAAACAGCACAGCTTCTTCTGTACTAGACTGTGTCTATAATGGCAAAACTGGGACCTACAATTCTTTATTGGTGGCAGCAGCCTCAGAAGATGTAGCGTAGACAGGTATCATACATTTTTCACCATGTCATATAGGTTGCTTTTACCACCATGTGTGTTGTCTAACCAAGTCCTGCATATACTACACTGTCCACCATGGCTACCAGTAGCTGAGAACTATGAGCCTGAGGAGGGGAGCGCCCTGCTGGGAGTGGGCTGCGCGCTCCATCTGCCCCAGCCGGTGCCAGGTCTGCAGCAAGCCCGGAAGCCCGTGTCCTTCCCTGCCCGCTGACCGGAGCGGCACGGAGCCCTCCCGACAGGTGGCGCGGCGGGAGGGGCCGGGTGGCGAGCGCCCCGCTGAAGTAAGCCCTGGCCGCCCCCCTTCTCTCTCTGCCCCTGCTCCCTCCCCCTGCTAGCTGGGGCGTGCACTCCGCTGCCTGGGGCACGTCTGCAGCGCAGGGAGTCGCCTTACACCCTGGCTCTGGCCACCCCGCACATTTTTTTTTTTTGCTTGGGGATGGCAAAAAAGCCAGAGCCGGCCCTGACAGTATGACAGATATCTTATTCTTTGGTCAGGGGGATGGTAGGTGCCACACGAGGCCTCATGACATTACAGTCTAGAGCTCCAGAAAGATGTGGGAGAAACCAGAGTGGGAGGGGATGGGGGGGAAGGAAACAACATTAAAATCAAAGCAGAGGTGGAGATATAGCAGCAGCTCATATAGGATTAAAACATGGCAAATATTTTAACTTCAGGTCCACTGAGCCATTTGGTTGTGTGCTAAAAATAGGCAGGTCTCCCCACCACATGGGCAAAGTGAGCTCTGGGAAGGGAATTTGGTATCTGTAGCCCCACTCACCAACAGGGTGGATAAAAATCAATGATTTAATAAATAAATAAATAAATAAATAAATAAATGACTAAAATCAGGTTATTTTTTAATTTAAAATCGGATTTTTTGATAGCTTTGAACTATAATGTATCTTAATTAAAACCATCTCATCATGGCATAGGGATTATCAATCCTCATTCTATAGTACGAGACAATATAATCATGTAATGTTTAAGAAAAGTTTTGTAAATGAGTT